CCTCTTCCAATACTAAATCATCCTTCACCCACTCAAAAAAAAAAAAAAAAAAAAGAAACCCTCCACTCCCACCAAATCAACACACCCCTCCTTTACTTCTAATACCCAAAGCTTACCCAAATCTGCCCAAACAAACTTTAAAACACCATGTGGCTACAGATGCCAAGGATTAGGACACTATGCTTTTGATTGTCCTAATAAGAAAGTAGTGCCATTAAATGATGCCAATGAAGAAACCAAACTAGAAATAGAAGAAGAAATCGGTGACAGAGTTGAATACCTAGGCCTGGATGAAGGTGAACTCTTAGTCATTCGAAGGACTTTGAGTAGCAAGGCAAGCAAAGAAAATCAACTTCGGCGAATTCGTGAGAAAACATTTTCATACTTGTTGTATTCTTAAGGGCAAAGTATGTTCTCTAGTTGTACACCGAGGAGGTTGCACCAATGTTGCTTCCAAAACCATGGCGGATAAGCTCAATCTAGAACTTTCATCTTGTTCACATCCTTACACTATCCAATGGCTAAATCATGGTAGAAGTAAACTCAATAAATGCTTTAAGAAGTAGAAGAATACTTCAATTGCAGAAAACAGGAATGTTAACAATGAACATCTTGAGGCAATCCACAAGAAAGAATAAGATGACATACTTGATCCATTGCAGTAATTCTAAGATAACACACTTGATCCCCTTCTCTCTCAAACAAGTTCCACTTTTTAATACTAAAACATAATCTAAAATCTTTGATGCATTCACTACCCAAAACTTCATGGAAAGTAACAAGGGAGGTTTGATTTAGTTTTGGAAATGAAAGATAAATCAAAATTCATATATAAAGTGAATCAAAGCAAATTGAGAATCAACTAATAATAACTTGAAATATTAACCTTGATTTTTTATTTTCTTTGTTGATTTATTCAATCTTCATTAGCTCTAGTTTATTCTTTGCCTCTGTGTGCTTTATATGTGCTTTCTCAGCTTTATGTACCCCCTGTGATTGTCTCATTTGTGCAAATTGAGCCGAGGGTCTCTTGGAAACAGCCTCTCTACTTTTGAGTAGGGGCAAGGTCTTCGTACGAACACCCTCCCAAGACCCTACTCTCGTGGGATCCAACTGGGTTGTTGTTGATTTACTCAATCTTGTTATTACTCTTCTGTAATTTCTATGTTCACATGTCAACATCTTACTTATTTTTGCAAGCCCAGTGCAAATAAATACGGAGTAAATAAATTCATATCTTTTCCTTGTGCAAGGAATGAAGTTAGCACAAATTTCAGAAACTTTAGATAAGGTAACCATAAAATCATGGATGGTGCATGTGTACCAAGGTCAAACATAGACTTTTACGTAGAGTACCAAGTAGGAGACCAAGAAACTTCAATTCCTACGGTGAGTATGACATTTAAGTTTCCAACTTTCCAAGATATGAAAAAGGAAAAATCTTCCCCAAGCCCACAACTTCCATAACAAAAGTGCGGCGGGTGATAGATAATTTGACTTCCCGCTTGAGCAAATAACATACGTTGGGGGCATTTTTCATTGCTTTTCACTTGAAAATAAGACCTATATAATCTAAAAGGGTCGTAAGAAAGGAAACACACTTGAGAAAGTGCCCTTAGCTCTTAGCTACTGTGATGTGCAAACGAATTCCCGGAGATGCACTGCACACAAAAACTGATTCTACAACAAATTTCTTTTATCAAACGAGAATATGCAGAAGCTTGAGACTGAATCCTTTCATAAACAGTATTCTGCATTGAACTCTTAAGTACTAGGGAACCATAGAAGCAATAAAAAATACCCCACTATCAAGTATGTTTACTGAATCTGGAATACACACCTCTGCGGCGGCAAAATCAAGTCAAATGATCCACTTTTTGGATGATATTAAGAATCCACCTATGGGGAATGGGGGAGAGGCCTAAGTTGGGGAAGAAGGAAAGAGAATTGTAACAGGGTCAACACACTTGAGAATTGTAATGTTCATGTTAAGATCAGTTTTACAAGTCAAGTGCTAGCTTCATAAGGAAAGGAAACTTACCCCAAAGCGTTGATGAAACAAATCAACGGCTGCTTTAACATTTCGAGTAATTAATCCCATTCTGAAAGAAAGAAAAACTTGTAATGTAAACCATCAATTCCATGGAAGCAGAACAATAGAAATGAAACCTTTCTTTTGCAATTGCAGAACATAAATCCGAATTACACGGAACGGAAAAGAAAGATATTGACCCTACACTCATACACATTATTTTGTTCTTTATGTAGTTATATGATAGCAAATGTTATAACCCATTGATAAAGAGTACATTAGCAAATTACTAAAATTCAATAATATTCTCAACACCTCCCTTACTGGTTGTATTACTGTATGCACAATATGGCAATCAATCCAATCATTACAAAGCTGAGGAGCATTGATCATTCATGCTTCTCCAATTAGATAATAAAAATGTAAATGATGCTCTAGAAAAAAACGGGATTCATTGACAGCCAGTAAAATCGTTAAACTCTCCCAATAACATTGTAATTCCACTAGAAAGAATCATATGCATGCATCTTTTCATTAAAAAAATATCTGTCCAGAAGTGATTGAAAAATCCAAGCAACTTCTAGCAGTGTTCAACAGTCAATAATACGGAGGGAATTATAGATTTATTATGAAATTCATACTAAACAAATTATGACAATTCGATTTCTTAGTTGTATGTCACACTTAATGGTAAACCCCAAAGTTAGATTTGAGTAGTAAACAAGTCACAGGACCGAAGTAGAGTGAAATAATAGATAGCTCAAGCTGAAAGCTTTGCCTGATATTCCTTGATTCGAGAAAACTACAAAGCTCTGATGCACCTGCACAAAGAGCACCCATACACAGAATGTATGTTACGTACATACACAAAAACGTATGCACAGCGTTACTATATATAGATTAGAACCTATAAAGATAGTTTTGGGGTAAACTTGGCAAACCCGGCATGATTTGTAGACGATCCAGGCCTTGCTTCTCAAAATCAGCAATAATCTCGTATGCGCGCCGCTTTCTGTCAGGATTCCAGCTCTCAATGTGGTGGAGAATGTCGACGCCGGAAGGGTTCTTCGACTTGATGTCACTGTATTCTTCCTCGCCCAGAACGGCCTTGTACATTGCCGGGAAGTTGATGACGGGAACGGTAAGGGTTCCGTCCATGTCGAACACAATGCCTCGCAGACGAATCGCCTTAGGAGCGGCGGCAGAGAATGCGCCGGAGAAGAAGGTAGAAGTAGCCATTGAAGAAAAAATTCAGATATGCTTGGACAAGATCCTTGAAGGTTTGGGAAGTAGGACTGCCATTATTTGTAGCTGGCTAGCCGGATGGAATAAGTTAGAAGGATTGTAAATTTGTAATTATATGCAAAATTATATGCAAAGTTGTACCCAATTTTGGATACAATTTAAAAATTATTTATGGTATAGATTTTATTTTATATGAGAATGAGCACTAAATTATTTGAGAATGAATATTGTTTTGTTTCAGAATGAACACTACATTATCTGTAAATGAATATTATGATTATATTGAACCAATATGTGAAAATGAGTCCTGCATTATGTTAAAATGAGTACTACGCTAATTATATTTGTGCGAGAATAAGTACTACTCTACTTCAGAATGAGTACTACCCCGGATGTACCTATCTCTAGGTACATCTGGTTGTACCATATACCTTCACGTAATTATAGAGTTATTGTTATAAAATAGAGAAAAACTACAGGTAAATTTCACGTATGGTACACCAGCTTTGACGTTTATTTCACTTCGGTATACCGACTTTGTTTTCTTTCAGAAAAGTACTTCAACTTACCACTTTCTTTCACCGATGGTATTTTAGCCGTTTTTTAGGTTAAAAGCCAGTTACCTATCTTACGAGTATGCCTACTTGGTGCACCCATTTAAATCACTCCCTTCTTCTCTCTCCTCTCTCCTCTGACGCAGCATCATCCCTGTTGAAAATTAAAGAATGGTGAAAAATAATCGTTGGTGTACCAGGGACTCCCATCTTCTACATATATAGCCCTCTTTCTTACATCCTCTTGTCCTAATTAGAAACCCTAATTTTGAGAGAAATTTTTCGAATTTGATGTCTACCATCTCTAGCAACAGCTCCTTCCGTCGCGCATCAATGTACTATTGCAAATGCCGTGAACCTGTAGTGTGGAAGACCTCATGGACTGATTCAAATTCTGAAAAGCGGTTTGTTGGGCGTCCTAATTATGAGGTAAGTGTACTGAAATTTCTGGTTTTTTTAAATATCTATTCTTTGCGATTGGGATTTTGGTTGAAAAGGGTTTTTGGTTTTGGTAGACTCCCAAATTTATTTAGTTCATGGAATGGAGAGATCCGGAAGTTCATCCACGATATCGAGATGTCATTATTGGCTTACTAAGGAAGGCTGAGAATATAAAAGAAGAGAAGCTGAAGGAGAAGAGTTTATATGGACGTCACACCTGTTGGATTTGTCTATTCTTGGTAGTGTTGATAGCTTTTTTCTTATTGTTTTGCAATTGTAAGGGTTGTGTATGCCAAGAGTGTTATAGTAGTGGCCAGTGAGATTTATTTAGCCTGGTGAAATGTTGTTGTGTAGTGGATTCATTGTAGAATGTTGTTGACTCATAATGTAATTCAAGAGTGATGATTGTAGAATGAATGTAGATTGATTTGTGTTGAAGACTTGTTTTTTATATTGCAGCAAGTTCGGTCATGTTATTTTATTTTAAAGGGTAAATTTCACGTATGGTACACTAACTTTGGGGTAAATTGCACGCATGGTACACCAACTTTGGGATAAATTTCATGTATGGTATATCTAGTATATCACGTATGGTACACCAACTTGTTGATAAATTTCACATATGGTACACCAACTTTGACGTTTATTTCACTTCGGTATGCCAACTTTGTTTTGTAACAGAAATGTCTTGAATGAAATAAGATATATGCACAAGATTTATGAATAAGATTGTACAAAATGCTTCATTTTACATATTGGAAGCTAACAAGTTTGTCAATCAAACAAAAAGCCTGCCCATTTACAAAACGACTGCCCTTACTAGCTGTCTATCAAACAAAAACCAAAAAAGACAGCAAGAAAGGCACAAAGACTGCTCATTTACATAAAAGAGTACCAACATAGGGCTACCAAAAACCCAAAAAACCACCTTCTATGTCCAGGTACCAAAAACCAAAAAACCGTAGCTGCAACATTGTGAATTATACTCCCTCCGTCCATGTATGATCTTCCCATTTTGCGTTACGAGGCTTGACTGACTTTATTTTCAATTCAATTTAATTGATTATAGGAGTAAAATTTTAAAATAAAATTTATATAGTAATAAACTACATGAAAAGTTATACAAAACTAGAGGTGACAAGACTATATTATTTTATGAAATGACTAGTAAAATTGAGTAAACAAAGTGAGTAAAATTTGACCCTGTGAATAGTGTCTGGGAAGATCTATGGTGGACAGAGGGAGTATTAAATTAGAGCATGCAGGATGATCTTCTTCTGTTGGACCTGATTTGCTTCTCTTCTTTGTCTTCCCTTTCACTGGTGGTTCTTTCCTCTTTCTTGCTCCGTCTCCAGCCGTTGTTGATTTCTTTTTACCCTTTCTCTGTCATATACACACAACCCATATTCCATCTCAAACATCTACCCACATAAATAAAAAAGTAATATTTGAGCAGACTATTTAGAAGACATGGTTTACCTTGTGTGTTGATTCTCCATTCTCTTTACTTGAGTGAGACCTTTTGTTGTGGCCAATTTCACCACAGACAGTGCATTTCATGCGCACATTTCCTTTTTTGCTTAACCTTCCTCCTTCATTGTGCTGTGAGGAACCTGCATCTTGGGTGGATGGTGCTTGGCTAGATGCTTTTCCTTTCTAAAGCTCTTGTGCTTCTTTTCTTCTTGCATTCTGCTTCTTTCCTCTTTTTTAGGTGGAGGTGGTGGTGGGAGAATTAGAGGTTCAGTTTCATCATGGGAGAATTAGAGGTTCTTTTCATCGTAGTATCCAAATTCCCCTAAAACCCTATCATGGTGCACAATAATATCATAAACCAACATGTGTTGTGAACTCTCAAAAGTCTCTGAACTCTGTGAACTCTCTGAATCTATGCAATACAAAAAAAATACAAAATGAAATCCCAAAAAATTTCACAAAACTGCACATTATAACATAAAACCCTACCCATGGATGATGATGAGCAACTAAACCCCTTTAGAATAAGACATGCACTAAACTGACATGAGTGGAGCTTCCTTTTTTCTTAGCGAGTGCAACACAGAACAGTAAGGGTGTCCTCTTCGTTTTAAATGAAATCAAAATTGAGAGAGAAAAAGACTTGAAACGCACCTCCCTCTGTTTTGAGGAAGCAGACGGTCGCCGATTAAATCCCTAGATTCGTCAAATCTGTTAGAAGAATCGGGCAGGCATTACGGAGAGGAAGAAGTGTGGTGGAACTCTTGCGCTAGACGACTGTTGTTGGCCGCTGGGAAATGATGGCCAATGGAACTCTTGATCGCCGTTGATGGTGAACCCAAAGAGGCAGAATGGATGGGAAACAGAAGAGACGGCAATCGATAGCAATCACCAGTAGACTGTTGTTTAACTCAACTTTATTGAGTCAGCAAACAATTGTCCAAATAAGCACCAAAATAGTCTACCTGGCTTGACACATGGCATCCCCACAATTGTTTAACTCAACTTTATATAAATATCTACTATATATATAAAAGCTGATGGGAATTGCTTTGCAATTTGATGCCTCAATTTTCCCGCCATTTATAAACAATCCAATGGCTGATATAGCTTTGGTACACTTGGCACAAATCCATACAATATGACCCATCATTTTAATACAATCACAAAAGGCCGAACGAAATAGCATCAAGGACCAACAACTTTATAATTATAGCTGGACAAAATGTTTAAAGTTAGGCCTCTCCCACAAAATGGCATCCAGGACCAGCAACTTAATTTAAATAAATCTTCCTTGAAACTTCCACATCATCCCCACAAAATGGCCCAGCATATGCAGTGTTCTTGAGGCTCGGATTTGGACAGCAAAAAACCACATCCTATTCCAATTTATACAAATACCATAAAGTATAAAATTGTTTTTAATTTCAATTTATACAAATACCATAAATTAAAAATTGTTTATTTTGAGGCTCAAAATAGTTTTTCCATTGCTATAGAAAAAGATAAGATCGCCATGGCTGCAACGACGATGTCAAATTTCCGGATAGCCTCGCCAAGATATGAATCATTTCATCAAATTTTTAGGATCAGCATTGAAAATTACACAAAAAAATATGTTACGACCTCTTAAAAATCCTTATGAAACTGTATTCCAATATTATGCTCCATTTCATTCCAATTTTCATGCCAATTTTTAACAATCCAATGGATAACACAAGTTTGGTACATTTGGCACAAATCCATTCAATCTTACCATGCTTCTATTACAGTCACAAAAGGCCAAACAGAATGGCATTAAGGACCAGCAATGTTACCATAATAGCTCGACAAAATGTTTGAAGTAAAGCCTCTACATTATGTGAAATTATATTGTTCAAGAGGCTTGAATATAGACACCAAATAAATCACACTCTATTTCAATGTATACAAACACCATAAATTATTAATAAAGTTTATAATTTCTACACAAAAAGTATAAATTTTCTTGAGGCTTGGAATTGTTTTCCATTGCTACACAAAAATATATGATTGCCATGGCTGCAACCACGGTATCAATTTTCCGGGTTGCCTCTCCAAGGTACGAATCATTTCATCAAATCTTTGGGATTAGCATTGGAAAATACACAACGATATAGTCACGGCCTCTTTAATCTCATTGCATTTCATTATAGCAATATGTACTTAGAGGAAGCTGCTCATTTCAACTGGGCCATAAAGAGGCTCAGAATTTTCACTATTTATATACTATCACAAGGGAAATGATATAAAAACGCCATGGCCACTTCTGGATACCCACGAAGCCACGCCAAGATACGTTTTATTTCCTTAATTTCAGTAAACACAGTAAGAGAAACCATATAAAACAATCATCATAGCCATTTATTTATTAAAACTACTCCAGCTTGATAGATGAAATATACCATGGCTGCAAAAATAGGATGAAATCACTTAATTACAAGACCTACCACAAACATGGTCCCTCTAATACATGACAAATACCCACTACAAGTGGTAGAGACCAAAACAGTGAGTTCCTGCTTGACAACTCAGCATATATTATAGCATTCAACTCATAGGACTTAAAAAACATCTCTTCATTGAAATTGGTGACTTTCAGTTCTAACCCAATACATTCGATTGGCTGTATAAATATCCTTCCACTCTTACACACTACACACCCTTCCACTAGTATTTTATTACCTTAAATTCTTTCACCCTCTCCGTCCATTTATTTCTATATATATAACTTACCAGTTACCAGTGGTGTTCTATTTAAGTCTGATCTATATTTTTTTGCCTATACCCATTTACTCATATACTTTACACTTACAAACCAAATGAAGGGCTTATTCTCTAATGTTAAAGACCAGGGGAAAAAAATAGGCTCCATACGAACACAGGTGAACACACTTTATTTAACTGTATATTATTTTTATGTTTTTATTTTTTAATTACAGTTCAATTTGTATCCATATTGAAAAGATTAATATGAAAGAAATGAAATAAGCATTATTTATTTTTAGAACAAATGAAAATCATATTTATTATATTGTAGAGCACCACCATTATTTAAAAGTAAAATTTCATGCGAGTTAGATGTGAAATACGGAGTAATAGACACATTTATGCTATTGTGATTAAAGCATAGTATACTGGTTAGGGTACATATCTAGCTTTGAACCATTCATATCAAAGTAAACATATAATGATGAAATTCAATTGTTAAAAAACATTTTTTGGAAAGGACCAGTTTAGATCCCAGGTTGTCATGTATAGAAGTAATATTTGGTTACTTATAACATTTAATAAAATTATGAAAGTTGAATGTAAGAGCAGTTAGCAAGTATGGGTGTGATTTTATTAGGAAGGACTTCTTAAATTCCTGAATAATATTTTTTAAATATAAAAGGAACGAATAAATTTTGAAGTAGCAGAATATAGAGAAATTAAATAAAAATTAGGTGCTAAAATTCTCAGAGATACAAATTTAATGTGTTAAAAAAATCATGAAATAGGGGAAAAATAGAACCCAGGATCTGATATTGAATAATCACATTTACTACCATTCTACCAACAATGATATTAAAAAAAACAGAAAATATTTCTTCGAAAAGCCCCTCTCTACGAAGTGGAGTGCTCAGATTTACATATGAACTTAAACAATTTGAAAAATCCTTCCATATTGACATAAATATTTAAATATTTGAAATAAAAAAAGAGAATACCTTGTGTATATTAAGACTTTCATCAAATTGATAGAAGAACAACGACCGTCGAAGTTGGATCAATCTACATAGCGTTTCAACACCATCGAATTTTTAGGTGGTAAAAGGATTAGGTTTGTGTCGATGAAAAATACATGAGACTCATGAGAGAGAAGGATACGGAACATATGGTCACAAATGAAGCGGTGTAATGACCGATAGAGGTTAGAACATTTGGACTGGGCCTAAATACATCATAAATGGGCTTAGCAGCTTAAAATAAAAGGTATAATTGGATAATATTTCATACTCGGGTATTATATTTTGAACAGAAATCACCCTAAATAAAAAAATTGCTCTAAATAAGATTAAAACATAGAAAGAAGTATCAAAATAGAAGTTTCATATTTTTATTCCTGAAATAGGACTTCGCACTATGGTAATGTGGTTGTAATGTGGAATTGTACATGTGCAGCATTACTATATTTTTTTGTAATGTACTTCTCCATGTTAGGTAATGTAAATGTATTTTAACTCCTTTTTTAGAAATAAAAACATGAACATTCTATTTTGGTATATTTTTAGTGTTTTACTCCTACTTTAATCTCTTTAACATATTCTCAAAATTCTCAAAATTTATAAAATTTAATGATTTTATTTTCTTTACATATTTTATATATTTGTAAATATATATTTCTTTGTGTAGATGGTTGAGCCAAATGATGTTTGTGCAGATATGGAAATTTCATTGGTTGTGTCCGGAAATAATCCTATTGGAAAAATTGTGGAAACTATTAACTCTGCATTCGCAACAAAATTTGGTGAAGATATATACTACAAGAAAGAGTAATTCTAGCACCAACACTTGAAGTCATTGAATCGATAAATCAATACATGATTATCATGAATGAAGGAGATGAGAAAGTCTACATGTGTGCCGATAGTGCTTGCGAGTCATATATGAATGCTTCTTTAGTTGGTGATTTACACACCACAGAGTATTTGAACTCGATTAGGTATTCAAGAAATCTGAACCACGAACGAACACTTAAAGTTAGGACTCCGATAATGCGTGTGCGTAACGTTGATCATTTTAATGATCTGTGCAATCAAACACGTCTAATTGTTACAAGACTTAGTAATCGTCTGTTGGAAGCAAAGATGATTCATGGGAAAAAAGCAGGACAAACGATTTTGATACCGCAAGTTTCATTGACTTTATCAGAGATCATGGAAAATATCTCTCACATGTTAGTTTATTCTTGAAAAAACATGTTTTCAGTCATGAAACTCTATGTAGTCATGTCTTGCGTACGGTCTCACGAGGGGTTAAAACCAATGATATTTGAATTTGAATATACTCCGTCTAATACTACAATGAATATAGTTTATAAGAAGATTTTTGAGAATATATGATTGATGTTAACAGACATGGTTTACTTCATTCGAATATTATGTATTGAATATATTATATTTTAAATTAAAACTCACACTTTATTTTAGTAGGTCTATTTAAAAATGAACGAATAATAAGATGTATAAGCAGAAGATGAACATATCTACTATTTATTAAATAATATCAACTTACAAAATTTTTCACGTATTTTTGTAATTATGATAAGCTTTTTCTTTCCGTGCATCGCACGGGTGATGTACTAGTAAATATATAAATATATATACTCCGTATGATATACTGAGTATGATATACTCCGTATGATGATGAGGTAGATGTGTATGTACAAGTGCCCACATATATAGAGTATAATAAAATTGTCATATAAATTACTCCCTTAAATTAAAGACCAACCCAAAGTTAATTAATCCGAGTGTGGAAATTCTCTCACTAGGTTGAGAGGTGCGATTGGTTCTTCGATGAACAGTGATCCGCGACTCCCTTCAATCGGAAATTCCCCTTGATTTTGTTAAGTTTTCTAGGCGATTCTTAATGCCTTTGAATCGTCTTCAACCAGATAATAAGATTCCAATCTCAATTTGGTAATTCGTGGCTGGAATTTGGCAGAAACGAAGGTCAACATTAGCGCAAAATCCACGATATTGCAGGTCTGATTTTTTCGTTCTTACTGCTCATTTCAACCCCAAGATTGATGTATTTAGAGCGAATAGCATTGCCAAACCACAATCTAGAACTTCGTTGATTCGTCAAAACATGAATTGTGAGCTTTGGGTGTAATTGGAGTCTCTCAACACTATTCACAGCGCAAGACATACACTGGAGGTTCTCCATTTCAATTCCTCTCTCTGGTTCCGTTTTTGGGCGAATCCTAGAGGTGATTTTCAATTCTTCTTCTTCACTTTAGTGGCCTATAACCTGAAATTTGTTGGTGCTTGTGTTGGTATTTTCTTGTTGTGCTTGCTGCCCTCTTTGTTTTAGGTATTTAAAGCTTGGGTCTGGTTCTTTTGTGGTGTGATTATGGAACATAATAATAAGAATAAGATTAGCAAAAAATGAACCAAAACATCACATTTTTTTATGGTACACCAATTAGTGAAGGAAAAAAATGCAGGATTGATGGTATAGGTAGTGGTAAACCCTAGTCTGCATATTTACTCTCCTCTATTAAAATTGTGCAGACCTCAGCTTCTTCCTCAACTGATGTTAGTGTCACATTCAACTCTTTTGATACCATTGCTACTGGGGACACCTCCTTGGGCCTGGTTCCTTTTTGTACGTAATAATTTCTCCATTGTTCATTGGTCGCGCCATGTTTAGTCGGATTCTAGGACATTTTTTATGTTCTAAAGATTTCACAGAATTGAAATTGAATATTTGATTACATATCAAGTTATTTTCATATATGTGTTAATGTTTAAATGTTCGTTGGTTGTGTGTATAATCTGGCTATGTTCAAAGGATTGATCTTTTGAAATTGGATTCAATCTTACTCTTGATTGACTCCTTCAAATGAATATTGAAATTGTTGTTAGTGTGGATATTTGATATACTAAAACATAACAGGTATGCCCAAAAAGAAACCAAAACAGATGCACAAAATAGCTCTAAGACTCATTGGAGGGTACAAAACTCCTCGGGAAGGCCATCAAATACATGAGAAGACGAATGACACTTCACACTTTAAAGAAGCAGCACCAGATTCAGGTACAGTGGTAATTGCTAAATTCAGCAATAAATTCTTGTGGTTAGTTTTCCTGTGTGTTTATAATACGATTTTTAGGTTGGCAATTGAGGGCTTGAATAGATCTGATATATTACATTGAACCCTATATAGTGATTGAGTTTTTTCTTATTTTGAATTTAATACAGGCTATAGTTGTTTGTTATATGCTACTTCACATATTTACTTTTTCGTGCAGCTCTTGGTTGCCATGAAGGGTGTTCTCTTTCACTACTTTTAAATTGTTTTGACCATTGAAACTCTTCAGTTAGTGTATGTTATTTGCTAGTAATAAATAGATCATTGAAGACTTAATTTTCTCTGCATCGGGACATGTAACGTCTTGTGTTTATAGTAACTGACTTTTGATCTCCAAGGGTAATATGTCTTTAAATACTCTGGTTGAATCTCTAACGTATTTTTATTTGTAGGTTGACTAAGTAGAAGATTACAAGCAACCTTTTGGGAGTGAACCAAGAAGGTTGGGGAAGTGGTGGAGATGGGGGAGGGGTTGGAGCTATAGCCATTTCTGATCAATACATCCCTCAACAAAGCTAAGCTTCTTGTTGAACTTTAGAGAAGGGTTTTGGCATCTGAATCATTGACAAGCTTTGCTTCACTTATGGTTTCCAAGACTTCACAGGCACGTGAAGAAGATAAGGCTAACTTCTACATGTGATATGGTATTCTTTTTTTATGATAGTTGTGATATGTTATTCAATTTGGCATAAGGTGATTCAATTTTAATCTTCAGGAGTAAATTAAGCATGCTCACAAAGAGCTCAAGTACCAGTGTCGTTGCTCTTTTCTTGAGGTAGGTGTCTTCTTATTATCATTTTTTATAAAAAATATCAGCAATTTTTATCAATTTGATGAGATGATCCAGAAGTACCGATTATTTGTATCTAAGTTTTGACATCCTTATACTATTTGAGCTATTTACTTGGCCTATTAGCTCAACAGTAGAGCGTCGTGTGCAAAAGTACATGAAGATGTGGGTTCGAGTCCCACATAGGCTTTTTTTTATGAATTTTAAATATTAAAAAATGATGATATTTTTGTATGTGTGGTGTTTTAGAAACATACTATATAAATGTGGTAAAATAAAACATTAGCCACATATATAAGTGTGGCTAATGAATTTATTAGCCACACTTATTAAAAGTGTGGCGAAATTTTCCCCACACTGTCACCCGCTACACTTACCTCATGTGCGGCAAATAGGCTCCCCCACACTTATATGTGCGGCGAACAACAATTTTAAGTGTGGCGAAATACCAATTTTCTTGTAGTGTCCATCTCTCTCGAGATCATGTGTTGAGAAGAACTTTGGTAATATATGCTTTGTTCCGTCTCCTTTGATGTAGCCTCCTTTAACTCAAGCAATGCAGGCAGTGTTGTCTTCATATATAGTAGTCGGATGGCTAGTGATTGTTTCTATACCGCACTCGCTCTGGATATGTTGGATCATTGATCGCAACCATACACATTCTCTACCTGTTTCGTAGAGAGCTATCAACTCTTTGTGATTTGATGATGTGGTAGTCAAAGTTTGCTTCATCGATCTCCATGATATTGCAGCATCTTCATGAGTAAACACATATCATGTTTGAGATTTTGCCTTTTTTGGATCAGAAAAATATCCGGCATCAGTGTATCCAACAAGAGTGGCCTTGGCACCTTTGCGATAGAATAGACCACGGTCGATCGTACCATTGACATATCGCAAAATGTGTTTAATGTCATTCCACGACCTCCTAGTCGGGTTCGAACTGTGTATGGCTAACAATTCACCGAGAATGCAATATTTGGTCAAGTTGTGTTTGTTATACATCAAAGCTCCAATAGCACTCAGGTATGGTATTTTTGGACCAAGTATTTCTTCATCACCTTCCCAAGGTCGAAACAGATCATCAAGTACAGTGGACAACCATAAGAGATGTGAGAGGATGTGCTTTATCCATATTAAACCGCTTTAGAACCTTCTTCGTGTAATTCGATTGGTGGATGAATATTACACTTTTAGTGATTCAAAACTTATGAAAACTTTTATTCCCTATGTCCTAAAAATATTTTTCTTTATTATTATTCACACCGTCAAACTTTAATCACATTCTTTACCTATAAGTTACCATTTATATATGACCATTATGGTCCACAAAATATTACTATTTATATATTATTTATTTATGTTAAGGAATAATGAATATTATTTTGAGTATTACATTTTCTCTTTTTCATTTTATGTATATAAATATAATGCATTTATATATTACCATAAAATGCACACTTACCATAAATAAGCCAATGTCAATAGGCGAAAAATGGGGTCAATATTTCCGCTGCTTTTAAATAAAGTATTAATGAATTTTTGTTGTATATGGTAAAAGAAATTACTCCCTCCGTCCGGTAATAAACTTCCTATTTTGACTTTTCCTCATTTTTAGTGGATGTTGACTATGGGTGTAATTTCTCTAAAATACCCCCCTCTCCTTCCTTTCCCAGCCCTGCCCCTGCCACCATCAAGTTCCTACCACCGCCTCCACCGTGGCCTCTCTCCTCCTCGCCGCCAGCCCTGCCGTGTCCGTCAGCTCCACCATCGATCCATTCTCCGACCATCTCCACCATCCCCCTCCACCATAATTGCTCGAGTCCCACCATCACCGCCATAGCCCTACCATTAGATCTCAAAGAAATAAAGAATGATGAGAAATAAATTTTAGAATAATGAGAAAGAAATCTTAGATCTCAAAGAAATTAAGAAGAAAAAGGAGAAGAAGTGGAGATCTAGACTCACCATCATCCCCGCTAACACAATCGCCGTCGCCACCATCGCTGTCGCCCGCTGCCAAGCTTGGATCTGGAAGTCTGGAAGATGAAATAAGCTCGGATCTGGAAGGAGATAAAGAAGGGAAAAGATGAAGGGGGAAAAGTGAAGAAGAGGAGACGACGAAGGAAGAGAGAGGAGGAGAAAGAAGAAGAAGAAGAAGAAGAAAAAAGAAAAGAAGATTGAGTGGAGGAAAGGAGGATGACGGAGGGAGAGAGGAGAAGAAAGAAGAAAAGCAAAAAGAAGAAAAAGTGGAAGGGAGGAGAAACGGCAGGAGAGAAGAAAAAGAAAAGAGTAGAAAAGAAGGGGTAATTTAGGAAGAATTGGTATAAAATAGTAGAATGAGAAGATTATTTCCAGACGAAAAAAAAGGTAGAGTAGGAAGTTTA